GTATTTTAATAATTTTAATTTCATAATATTATTATATTTTTAATATGTAGTTTAACTTAAAATTTATATATATATATATATATATTTTACAATATTTTGGTGAAGTTGTATTCTCAAAACAGCCAGCAATGTCACTGCTTTATGCAAGACGAACTCCGATCTTTGCACAATGCTACTTCAAGGAAAGCAGCTAAAAGCGTCTCAGATTCTTCTCTCTCAGCCACCACATTTCAGCATTTACTGAGCCATCCCCTTTTTAAATTCTCCCTCCACAAAAGTGTTCCAGAGGGAAATGGCCCAAATGGGAACTTTCTCGGTTTCCAAATTGCTGTTTTTCATCTTAACAGTTTTGCTTCTGGGTTCTGAGTTAATTCAGTGCAGCATTACCTACGACAAGAAGGCTATCATCATCAATGGGCAAAGGAGAATTCTCATCTCTGGCTCCATTCACTACCCCAGAAGCACCCCTGAAGTATTTTGCCTGCACCCTTTTCTTTTTACTACTTTTCTTCTCAAAATGAGAGTACGAATATATATATCTGATTGATTCTTGGACTTCTATGGCGATTTTTTGGGTGTAGATGTGGGAAGATCTTATAAGGAAGGCTAAAGATGGAGGCTTAGATGTTATAGACACCTACGTTTTTTGGGATGGTCACGAACCTTCTCCTGGCAATGTACTCTTTCAGATCACTATTGAAACTTACTTGTTTTCAGTTCTTGCACTTTTCATTCTCTTCTACACTTCAAAATCATCCTGTATTATTTTCAGTTTATTTAGGATTTTTTTTCCTTTTTGGGTTTTAGTATAATTTTGAGGGGAGATACAACCTGGTACGCTTCATTAAGACAGTGCAGAAAGTGGGATTGTATGCTCACCTCAGGATTGGACCTTATGTTTGTGCAGAATGGAATTTTGGGTACTATTCTTACTTTTACTTTCCATTTTTTATGTTAAAAGATTTTCTTTTTCTAAATTAGTAGGTTGCAGAGAAAGGACTTTTCTTTGGAAAGAAATATTATCTTTTACATTTCCTAGACTTCATAGCTAAATGCTGGATTTGAGTTGGTTTTATTGCTTACTGTTTCTTTCTGGACTCTGGTACAGAGGATTTCCAGTATGGCTTAAGTATGTTCCTGGTATCAGCTTCAGAACGGATAATAAGCCCTTCAAGGTTTTTTCTCTTTTTTTTTTCCTCTTTTCCTCCTTTTCAATTTATGTTGCTTCAGACTACTCCTAGAGACTCTTTGGATTAATGAAAAATTAAAAGAAAGTAAGGTTCCGTCCATGTTTATTTACCTTTTCCAATTTTCATGAAGATGGCAATGCAAGGATTTACTCAGAAGATTGTCCAAATGATGAAGAATGAAAATTTGTTTGCCTCACAAGGTGGCCCCATCATCCTCTCTCAGGTAATTGATTCTTGGTATTTTTGGCATTTTTAGATTTTAAGTTATTGAGATCTTTTTTGCTCAATTCTTTAGCCATAACTTTGTTGTTCTGAAATAGATCTCAAAGAATGGGTTAGACACTTAATAGTCGTAGATGCTTTGTTCCTTTTCTATAGATTGAGAATGAGTATGGGCCCGAGATTAATGCACTTGGAGCTGCTGGTCATGCATACATTAATTGGGCTGCAAAAATGGCTGTAGGACTAGATACTGGAGTGCCGTGGGTGATGTGCAAGGAAAATGATGCCCCAGACCCTGTGGTGAGCTATCTTGTTCATTAATCTCCATAGAGTTGACTTCATTTACCTAATGATATACTTTAAACTAAATCGTCTAATGTGTTCATTGAATTCTGATACTGTCTCAAGCACTGCTGACCTTATTTTCCCTGCTGTCCTGTTTGCAGATAAATACATGTAATGGTTTCTACTGTGATGAATTCACTCCCAACAAACCTTACAAGCCTTCAATGTGGACAGAGGCTTGGAGTGGCTGGTAAGTTCTGTCTTTGCCAATATCTTTGAAGTAGACTTTGTGAATACAGATTTGATTTGCTGATGGAGCTATCTATTATTTTTCCTCATAATTACAAGGTTTACAGAGTTTGGTGGTGCAATTCACAAGCGGCCAGTTCAAGACTTGGCATTTGCAGTTGCTCGCTTTATACAAAAGGGTGGTTCTTTTGTTAATTACTACATGGTTAGTACTTCCATTAGTTCAGTTTTTAATTGAAAAAGATTTACCATGTTAGGCAGAAGGTCTACCTCCTACCTAATGTTTCGGCTTGTGATAGTACCATGGAGGAACCAACTTTGGACGCACTGCTGGAGGCCCATTCATTACAACCAGTTATGATTATGATGCTCCAATTGATGAATATGGTGAGATAACTGATTTTATTGTTCATTCTCTTCAATAACATATTTGAATGTTTTAAGTTTTTTGACTTCTAACAGTCAACAAATTCCATGTCCTATTTTTTCCCTAAACTTTATATTTTTTGAATTATTTCTGAAATTTCAGAAGAATTTAAGAAATATGTGCTGAAGTTCTTGCCATCACTCTACTTCTCCAGTTCTCCCAAAGCCCTGTCCTCTTCTCACTTTCCTCCTTTTTTTCTTTTTTTTTGGCATCCTTTTTGTCATTTGCTTGTTCTTATTTACTGTAACTTTATTATCCTATGGCATACCATTATACTGTTTAGACTATCATCTTTGTGACTTAACTGAGTCACCTGACAACTTTTCTATGTTCAGGTTTAATCCAGCAACCTAAATATGGTCATCTGCAGGAGCTTCACAGGGCTATTAAGCTATGTGAACATGCTTTAGTTTCTTCAGATCCTGTTGCTACTTCACTTGGAGCCTATCAGCATGTTAGCTTCTTCAATTATTTCTTGCTGTGCTAATATTTCTTGTCACAATTTACTAGCCAGCTTTTTAATGAAAATTTTAAATAAAGAATTGTTATCTTGCAGGCTCATGTATTCTCTTCAGGGCCAGGAAAGTGTGCCGCTTTCCTCTCCAATTTCCATATAAGCTCTGCTGCTACAGTGATATTTAATAACAAACACTATAATTTACCCCCTTGGTCTATTAGCATCCTTCCTGATTGCAAAAATGTTGTCTTTAACACTGCCAGCGTAAGTAAATTCTATGATGTAGAACTTTTGCAACCTCTTTCAGACTTCTATTGGCACGGTAGTAGAGCATCTTTTTTGTTTTCTGCCATTCTTTTGATTGTCTTTTGAAAATACTGATATGGTTATCATATGTTCATCAAGGTTGGAGTTCAAACTTCAGGGATGCAAATGTTACCAACCAAGTCCATGATGTTCTCATGGGCGACATATGATGAGGATATCTCTTCCCTAGGGGAGGGGTTAACATTGACAGCTGCTGGACTCTTGGATCAGATAAATGTTACCAGAGATAGAAGTGACTATCTATGGTACATAACAAGGTGAGGCTTCGTGATTTAAGTTTCTAAAATATGTGACAGGATTGTCTGGTAGAACTGTTATCTAATATATTGATTAAGTTCAGGGTTTCTTGCAGTCTTATTTTTAGATGGCCTCTCTAGATTTAATGCCTAAATATAGACTGTTGTTTTATATTGCTAAAACATTTAATTTTGTGGTCTGCATTTCCTCCCAGTGTTGACATTAGTCCATCAGAGTCATTTTTGCGAGGGGGACAAAAGCCCACTCTCACAGTGGATTCAGCTGGTCATGCTGTTCACATCTTCATCAATGGACTGCTTTCAGGTATTGTATTGATTAAATTATATCAAACTTCCTCCCTACCCACCTCCCAACCAAAAAAGAGGAAATACAGGTTATTGATGCCAAGTTACATTATAAAATTACAGGGTCGGCCTTTGGCACCAGGAAGAAGAGGGGATTCACATTTTCAGGACCAGTTAACCTGCTTGCTGGAACAAATCGAATTGCACTTCTAAGCATTGCTGTTGGACTACCAGTTAGTTCCTGCCTTTAAGTACATATATAGCATGGCAATTATTTCAGTTACTCATCAGTTATTTATGACATTGTTGAAGAATGTTGGACTGCATTATGAGACATGGAAAACAGGAATTCAAGGTGTTGTGCTCCATGGTCTGGACCATGGAAACAAAGATTTGACATGGAAGAAATGGTCCTACCAGGTTTGCAACATACAGCCATCTTCAACTTCAAGTACCTTGTTTGCCAGTTTCAGCCTCACATGACTTTTCTTCAACAGGTTGGTTTAAAAGGAGAATCAATGAATTTGGTCTCTCCAAATCTAGACTCGTCTGTTGGTTGGGTCCGAGGATCATTGGCTGCCCATAGCGACCGACCTTTGACATGGTATAAGGTAGAAAAGCAAATGGGTGCGCTTGGTAACAACTGGAATAATTAGATTGTATCAGGGGTTAAATATTGTCTTGGATATTTCAGGCAAAATTCAATGCACCAGAAGTAGATGAACCATTGGCTTTGGATATGAGGAGTATGGGAAAAGGTCAAGTGTGGGTGAACGGGCATAGTATAGGAAGATACTGGATGACTTATGCAAAGGGTGACTGCAATAGATGTACTTACGCAGGGACATTCCGACCAATGAAATGCCAGAGTGGATGCAACCAGCCAACCCAGCAATGGTATCACTTCCCAGATGACCAAACTTTTTATGTCAGATGCTCCCACACTCATCTAGGGCGAAAATTTTTTAAGACGATTCTGATTCTCTAAATCATAAATTAAAACCTATATTTTAGTATAACTGAATTCCAAAATTTTCAGGTACCATGTTCCAAGTTCCTGGTTAAAGCCAACACAGAATTTGTTAGTAGTTTTTGAAGAACTTGGTGGGGATGCATCAAAAATATCTCTTATGAGGAGATCAGTGACCAATGTCTGTGCTGATGCATATGAAAATCACTCTGCTGTTGAGAACTACAGTATTGAAAGCAATGATGAATCAAAGGTGCTTCCAGATGCCAAGGTTCATCTGAAATGCACAACAGGGCAGTTTCTGTCATCTATTAAGTTTGCTAGTTATGGAACACCATCTGGAACCTGTGGAAGTTTCCATAAGGGAACTTGCCATGCACCAAATTCTCAAGCTGTTTTAGAGAAGGTATTTCTGTGAACCAGTGGTTGTAGATTTAGTAGCATTTTTACAAACTCAAAACAAATTCTCTTAATAGTTTCAATGGTTATGCCTGACAGGATTGCTTAGGGAAGGAGAGTTGCTTGGTTAACGTATCTAACAGAAAGTTTGGAGCAGATCCATGTCCTAACATGTTAAAGCGGTTATCAATTGAAGCTGTTTGTTCCACTGCAGACAAAACCACTCAACCCGATTCAAAGAGATAAAAGATACCCTTATATTTATGAACATAGTTGATACACCATTTTGATCAGCTGGAGCTTGGACAGGAGCCAGGACGAAAACAAGAATAAAGAGGTGAAGATCCTCTGTTTCATTATCTGGAAACAGCAAATAGTTAGAGGTGTTGGATTTAGGCAGTTGTCATTAATTAGGTTTTGGATGGTTGGCTTAGGAAAAGTAATCGTTGGTGGCTGGTTAACCGCACAACCATGTTCCATGCTAAAGCTACAATTCTTAGTCTTTTGGGGGAAGATGGTCACTTGAATAATTCTTGAAATGTAAAATTAGCTACAAGGAATAAGGTGAAGAGAGTGCTCAATTTTATTGTGTAAATTTGTGATCTATCTCATTACGGTACTCACTTTTGAGAGAGGAAATGTCGGTAAGCCATTCCCTTTCTCTTTTGACATCAAAGAGAAATTCAAACTTAGCATTAATATATTGTTATATGCATATATACTCCTAAAAATTGTTTAAATTCCTCTAAATCGCAAATAAATACTCAATTAGTGTTTTAAAATTTTTAATAACTAATTACAATTTTAATTATCAAAATTTTAATTGGATTCCTAAATTTGATTTGGTAAATTAAAAGATGGTATTGTGAGAAAAAATTAATGAAAGGTGGGAGTAATGGTGAGGAAGTAAGAAAATATTAATGAAATAATGCTAAAAAAGTCGTGACTTTAAGTGTAAATTTAGAACATGTATAATACAGATAAAAGAAGAGAGAAAAAAACTAGAATAAAAAATATATAATATTTGATAGAGATGTGAAGAGTGGTTTAAAATATATATATATATATGTAAATAAAAATTAAAATTTGAGACTTTTAAGACTTGTTGCAGACAAATGAGAAGCCTACCTCTATAATTTAAATTAAAAGAAGGTTTAGCCTCCTACTCCTCTTTAAGAAAAAGATCCTTTTGTTTTCTTGTCTCTCAATTTTTCTCAATTTAAACACGCAATGCAGCACCTTTTAATAAAAGGACATATAATACAAAATAATTTATAATTATCAAGTAATAGAAGATCATGATAATTGACATGCACGTTTCAGGCATGCACAAGGAAACTTACTTGTTTTTGTTCATGGGGTAGACTAGAATGGGCCCACTCGTTTTATTGCCCAAGATGCCCTTAAACACGCCCTTATCAAAGTCGCCTATCCTTGATTTGGGGACAAAAAGGTTGAGCCATGGGTGTGGTACCTCCCACAAACCCTTGGTTCGTAGCTTCAACTCCGCCTTGTGGACCCGGTCAAGGAAATCCAAGTAGGGAAGGTCGGTGATGAAAACTGATGCCGGAATAAAATTCAATCTCTTCAACAAATTTTCTAC